GGGGGGGGGGGGGGGGGGGGGGGGGGGGGGGGGGGGGGGGGGGGGGGGGGGGGGGGGATGGGATATAGTAGGAATTGTAATATTGCTGGACTCTTTATTAATAAATATATATATATATATATATATATATACAGAGGGAGTCTTGTAAGGAAGAAGATAAAAAATGAATTTATTTCTTTTTTTTTCCGCATTTGCGCTCTGATAAATTTGTGACTATATATGTTATGCCTTGTACGGAAGAGATTCTGAACAGGGGGGAGTTATATAAGGAAGAAGATAAAAAAAAAGTGAATTCATTTTTTGCTGTTTTTCTTTCTTTTTTTTTTTTTCTTTTTTTTTTCTGTTTTTCGCATTTGCGCTCTGATATTCTTGTGACAATATATCGTTATATATTATGCGCTTACGATGACGCCGAATAGGAGTATACCAAGTTCTTGATGTCGAACAAGGCCATCTGCTGTGTATAGATATGTATCTGGGACTTTGTTTTTTTTTTTTCTTTGCAGAGAAGAATGTTTTGATATCCTGGTTGGTCTTGTCCCGTCGTTTGGCCTGTGTAGGACTGGGGCGGTGCTTGCATGTGGGACTTGTCATCTGGGATGTGTTTTGTTGCCCCCTGTTCTGCTTTATTTGGCTGTTCCCTTCCTCTTTTCTTTGCCTCTTGGCCTTTTGGCTGTGTGCAAGTGGGTACGCAAGAGGTTTTGAACAGGGGGAGTCTTGTAAAGACGAAGATAAAAAAATGAATTGATTTTTTATTGGTTTTCTTCGCTTTTGCGCTCTGATATCTCGCTCTCTCTCTCACTTTCTTTGGCCGTTTAAGTTCATCCTCCATCTCTCTCTCTCGCTCTCTCTCTCTCTCTCTTTCTCTCTCTCTCGCTCTCTCTCTCTCTTCCTCTCATTTCGATGTCCAACTCGATGACGATACAGTGAATTTTCCTCTCGTTTCGATCATAATGACAATTCAGTGCCTATCCATTTATAATCCTGATCGTTATGTATCTCCTTGTTGACGTCAGCTTTTCGATTTTTTTTTTTTTTTGGGTCTAAATCGTCAGCTTCTGATCGTATCCATTATGGATTGCGCTTTTCTTCTCTGTCCCGGCTAATGCATTTTTTTTACTGTATCTGATCCAGATTTCTGACTGTATTCATTTCTCGCTTGTTGTGTTGATTTCGCGAGTAGTTTGCGTCTCTTCTTTGTCCAGCCATCTCTCGTCTCGATTCAATGTATCTAACCCGAACGTGATTCACTGTATCATGTCTCACTAATCCATTTTTTTCACTGTATCTGATCCATTTTTCTCACTGTATTCATTTTCCGCTTGTTCTATTGATTTTTCTAGTAGTTTGCGTTTCTCTTTTCTGTCCAGTCCAGCCATCTCACGGCTCGATTCAATGTATCCAGATTCAATGTATGTAGATCCATCGTGATTCACTGCAACGAAGTCCATTTCTCACTGTATGTCTAATACATGTCTCAATGAACCTGATCCATTTCTCGATGTACCTAACCCATTTTCCGTACTGTATTCATTTCCGTCTTGCTTTATCGATTTTGGCCTGCTCTTTGAAAATATACCAGCAGAGCGAATGCTCTTTTCTCTCATCTTCTCGCTTTCTTCCCTCCTCCTCCTCCCCCCCTCTCCCCCCCCCTCAACCCCCCCCAAAGATGGCGACGGCCTTGAGATATGGTCATTTTGATCTGACCTGCCCCAAGTAATTCAGAATGATTTTATTTTGGTCATCTGATTGGTTGTATGTAGATTCGAACTCCGGTCTGTTAATGATTTATGATTTAAGATTTGTTTTTTATGATTTATGATTTAAAATTTAAGATTTATTTTTTATGATTTATGATTTAAGATTTATTTTTTATTATCTCGATGAGATATTATGCATTTCAACAGTTCCTGCTCATGGCTCGTTGGTTCTCCGCTTTCTTTTCTCCTTTCTCTTGCCTACTCTTAATTGCCATGACCTCCTTGTTTTTGTTTTTAAATCATTATTATTATTATTATTATTATACTATTTATTATTATTATTATTATTATTATTATTATATATTTTTTTTTTGAAATCGTGTCATCCTTGCGCAGGGGCCGTGCTAATCTTCTTCTCTGTATCGTTCCAATTTTAACGGATGTTCCGTAGGATTATTATTATTATTATTATTGTTATTATTATTTTGCCTACCTTGATATTGCGATTAACGTTCCTGGGGCCACGTCCCACTAGCAGCAGCGTTGAGCTACCTCAACGCCTGAATGTGGACGTGTTCGTGGAGACGTGCAGTTCAGGAAAACACCATTTCTGCACATCTCCGCAAAAGCGTCCACATTCAGGCGTTGAGGTAGCTCAACGCTGCTGCTAGTGGGACTTGGCCCCTGCTGGCGATCAAGGGAGCTTTCTATGTGTTTGCCCTTTTTTTTTTTTTTTTTTTTTTTTGTACCCTTTGTCTTTCAGCCAAGGACCCAGATGAAAATGAGCTGGACTCGTTGAATCTTCCTATTTCGGTATATGTGCATTGAGAACGGTACTTAGATGATGAGAGTACTTTTTTACTCTCCACCGCCTTCCCGCGTTCCCTCCCTCCCGCGTTCCCGCCCTCCCGTTTTCCCGCGCTGCCGCGTTCCCGCCTTCTCATCTCTGAGTTGTCTTCCTCCCTCCCGCTCTCTGTCGAAGAGTTGTTCCTCCCTTCCGCGTTCCCTGGCGCGCAAGGATTCCTATCACCTTCTCCACCGTCCTCTTCGTTGCACTTTCCTTTTTCCCGCCAAAATCTGGTCAGTCCTGCACTCTTTTTTCCCGCCAAAATCTGGTCAGTCCTGCACGCGATTTTAGCTGATACCTCTTCGTTGCACTCTCTTTTTTCCCGCCAAAATCTGGTCAGTCCTGCGCGCGATTTTAGCAGATACCCACTTTCTCCTCCTGGTCCCTCTTCCCTCTTCCGTCTCGTAGCCACTTTCATCCTCCTGCTTCCTCTTCCCTCCCTCTCGTACGTGCGCTCCCTCTTCCTCCTTGCTCCCTCTTCCCTCTCCTGCTCCTTCCTCCACCTTGCACTCAATCTCTCTCTCTCTCTCTCTGTGTCTGTCTTAACGTCCTCCCTCTCTTAGCCTCCTCTCCCTCTTGGCTTCCTCTCTCTCCCTCTTTGTCTCGTTTCCTTACGTCGCTTTTTCCTCTTTGTCCTTTCTTATGTTTCTCTCGTCGTGTACCTGGACACGTCGTGTACCTATGATTCTCTCGTCGTGTACCTGGACACGTCTTCCTCATACTCTCTCGTCGTGTACATATGATTCTCTCGTCGTGTACCTGGACTTCCGTCTTCGCTAACTGATTCTCTCTCTCCTCGTCCTCTCATGATTCTCTCGTCGTGTACCTGGACTTCCGTCTTCGCTAACTGATTCTCTCTCTCCTCGTCCTTTCATGATTCTCTCGTCGTGTACCTGGACACGTCTCTCTTCTTCTCCTCAGTCTCTTCCTTGTGGCAAGTAGACAAGATATGCTTGTGCTGCAGTGGACACGTGTCTCTGTTCGAAGGCCGTGTACCTGGACACGTCGGAACAGATCTCAGTCATCGGAAGATGACACGTGTGGCACGTGTCATCAAACGCGTGGGGCACACATGTCCGACACGTGTCGCACACGTGTCTCGCACACCTGTCGCAGGGGTGTCTGAAGTGCGGCACGTGTCTGATCAATCAAATCAGTCAGTTAAGGTGTCGCAGGTGCCATCAATCCACAGTTAGGGGTCAGACAGGTGTCTCACACGTGTCGCATAATTGTCGCGACGGTTTCTATCTGTGCGACACGTGTCTGCCACAGACTCTGTTTGGTGAGTTCCACGGACGCCTAGGGATTCGAATCTTTGTCAATGTTTTTTTTTTTTTTTTTTTTGGCTTCCCTTCTTTTTTTTGTTTCTTTTTGTTTTGGGGGATGTTTGCTAATCAGCGTTCTGTTCGGGCAAATATCATACAGTTTTTATTCAGGCGAGTAGCCGAAAAGCAAGAAGGCTGTGTTGTTATGGGAATGGTCAGACATACGAGGTAGGATCCTATTACATGAGATATGTAGTGGAAGTGGGGAACATTCTGATATAATTGACTGTATGTGATTTGGTCCATGGTTCCGCCTGGGCCCTTATGTAGGTAGGTAGGTAATGTGGTTTGTGCAGTTGCTGAACATAAGCTAAACCGGCTGATGCTGCCGGGATAACTTCCGGGTTGAATTGTGAGGTCCCCGGCCTCATTCAAGTTTCCTCCTTTGAATTGAAATGTATGGTTTAATAATAAAAAAAAAAGGAAAAAAAAAAATACTTTTTGATTTTTTTGCAGACAAGACTATCGATATGGTAGAATTTGTTTTGCTGATTTTGGATATCCGTATGGAAGAATTTGTTTTGCTGATTTTGTCTGTATCCCGGTTGGCTCGGTCCCGTTGTTCGGGCTATTTCATGGGCGTGGCGGTGCTTTCACGTGGGACCAGTCATTCGGGTTTTTGGCATCCTGGTTGGTTGTTTCCCGTTGTTCGGCCTTTTGAGCGCGGGGCGGTGCTTGTATGTGGGAATCGTCATCCGGGATTGTCTTCTCCTCCTTTTTTTGGTTGTCACACTGTGGATCGGAGCTTTTTTTATGCTGTCTTATGACATCCTGGCTGGTCTTGTCCCGTCGTTTGGCCTGTAGTTGCCGGGGGCGGTGTTTGCATGTGGGACTTGTCATCTAGGCTTGTCATTTAGGATCTGCTTTGCAGCCCCCTGTTCTGTTTTTTTTGGGCTGTTTCCTTCCTCTTTTCTTTGCCTCTTTGCCTTCTGGCTGTGTGCAAGTGGGTCGATATGACACACGGGGGTGGGGGCAGCCGCCGCTCAACCTACATCCACGTGGGCGGCCTTGTACGCAAGAGGTTCTGAACAGGGAGAGTTATAAGGAAGAAGATAAAAAATTGAATTCATTTTT